ACATATTTCTTAATATGTTAGACGCTGATTTTACAAACATACAATACATATGTATTTGGATAGAAGTGTTAAAATAATAACAATTAGTGTGTTTGGTAAAAAGTGTTAAATAAGTATTTTAAATTCATTTACAAGAAGTTACAAATTTAAAGGTAGTATTACATTTTAAAAAAAAAGCGGAATAAAGGGATAATTAAAAGCTATAAATATTTCAGAGATTACAAAAAATATTGTAATAAATGATAAAAGTTTGGTCAAACAAAATGCTCTTATAATTTTTGAATTATTTTGTTTGGTTAGGAAAAATGCTCTTATAGTTTTTGGATTATTACCAAACAAGTAAATAAATCAAAAGGTATTTAAACATAGATTTTGCAAATTTGTTTTTAAGAAAATGTACATGTTTGTAAGTACAATTCAAAATGCAAAATATTTTATTAAATCATAGTAGAAAAAATTACCTGACTCTTCAAATATTAAATAAAATGAAATAAAGAAAACACTAAATAAGAAACCAAAACACTAAATAAATGAGGGTAATTAGAACTTTAATTTGAAGTGGTCAAAATTGTTTTGTAAAAGTTATTGTAACAATCTTTAATATGTTCATGTTTTTCTCTTAATACTTTGAAGAATTCTATGCTAAAAGAATTTATTTCGCGATTTTAGTTCTTAATCATAATTGTTTAAATTGATATTGGTGTAAATATTAATTATGTCATTAATTTAAGAGTTTTATTTTTTCTATATTTCAAACGGAATAATAATTCCTTACTGAGGAATATAGATGATTAAGGATGTATTTCTCAATTCTCACATATTTATACTATATTAAAATTACTAAGGTCCTTAGAATTATTGATTAAACCTTTTGCCTTTCATTAAAAATAATTTGCTTTAGACAAAATCGTTGTTTCACCATTTTTCTCAAATTATAATAAAAAGAAATTCACATAACAAAAAAAAGTCCGTATCTAGATTTAAACAAACAAAGAAAATAAGTTAATAGAAGAAAAAAAAAAAAAAAAAAGAACAATTATGTAGGTTCACATTCAAAAAAATGCGTAGGAAACATGAGAGAAATAATACTAAAACTTCTATTTACATACCTAGAAACAAAGGGAAGAAAAATTGAGGGTATAACAGATAAAATAAATTGTCTTTTTTGATTTGTTAAAATAGACAAATAAAAAGGGATAGATAAAAAAAGGAAAATTGAATAAGTAATTAGAGATAGGAGTAACCCTCAGGGGTAAAATAGGAAGAAAAATATCATTTATGCATTTATTTAGTGAAATGACAAATATTAAGGACCGTCCATTTTTTATAGATATATAAATAGGAACAGAGGAAGTGACGTTTAGGAATTTTATGTAGAATTTTAGTTTACAATATTTTCTTCTTTTTTTTAAAAAATAATTATACAATTTATTTTATGTAAAAAAAAAATAATCAATGTGAGTAGTTAGGGAAAGTAAAGACAAGGGTACAAAATGTTTTTAAAAAATTATACAATTTATTTTTAAGAAAGAACAACCTTTTTCCAATAAACGTGAGTATATTTAGAAAAAGTTATGTCATATACACAGATTTTTTCATCTATCATGGCAACAGATTGTGAGAATTTTTATTTTCTTCCTTCATGTTAAAAAAATATTAAATTCAATTATTATGTATGTATAATAATATTTTATTTATCCTCATTCAAATAAATATCACATATATTTTAACATTAATTGCTATTTTTAATGTCTTTTTTTTAAAATGTTTTTACTAATTCACGTGATGTACACGTATAAAGAAAATATTCTAAACTAGTGTGTGTGTGTATATATATATATATATATATTATTTTAAAATTGTTATTACTTTATTCAAACATATTCCCCTAAGATCATGGTTTACTTGATTCAAAGTTTAACTAACTCCATATTTAAAGAGTATTGATTTTTTTTCTTTAACTCCAAAATATAGCAAAGAAGTTAGGACAAAACACTAAATAAAAGTGTAAGTTAGAATTGTGACAAACTTTGTCCATGCTTTTCTGTTTAATGAAGAATTCTATGTTAAAAAAATTTATTACTAAATTTTAGTTTTGAACGATACTCAATTGTTTAAATTGTTATTGGTGTAAGTTTTATTAATTATGTGTCATTAATTTAAGAGTTTTACTTTTTCTAATATCTCAAATTGAATAGTAATTCCTTGTCGAGAAATATAGATGATTAAAGAGGTGTGGAAAAATTGTGGGTAATTTTTTTATAATTTTGATATTATTTTAAAATTGTGGTTACTTTATTCAAACATATTCCCCTAATATTGTGGTTTACTTGTTTCAAAATTTAACCAACTCCATATTTAATGGACATTGATTTTTTCGTATCTCTAAATACTGCAAAGGCAGTTAGGATAAACCTTATCTATTTGGCCCAAATGGCAAATAAAATTTACATTTCTAAAAGCTTATTAATAATTTTATAGTTTAATTAGTAAATGAAAATGTTAAAAAAAATTTAGTTTGTGTTTTACTCAATTAAAAAAGTACTTGGTTTACCCAGATTCAAACCCATGAACTCAAGGCGGCGCGCGCTTTAACTTTAGTTTGAGGACCAACGCGCTCATCAGAGGTGCTCACAAATATAATATATCAATTTTTAATATTATATATATATACACACACACATACATATATAAAATTTCCGTCAGAGTTAATGGGTGTGCGAGCACCCGATACTCTATACGTGGTCCACCCCTGATTGGATGATTGTTACGTATTATTTCGTAATGTATTATATTATTTTAATATAACATTTGAATAGATTATATATCATTACGTAAACACATTAATAATTTAAATGATAAACCTACAAGAAAAGTATGTAGGGGTAGAATTACTATAAAAAGTAGGGTAACACATAGAATATGATTATTAAATAATAAATAAGATAACACAATCACATAACCAAATTTGTCATTACACGGAATTAAACTTTTCATCATTACCTGATGATAGATACGATATTGATAGATACGATATGAATATATGATATAATAAAATTTAAGTAACAATAAAAATAAACATGTTATTTAAATTAACAATACAATACGATATAATACGAGGTAGCAACAATCCAAACACTTAAAAAATACTTCTTAATATATATATTAAGAATAGGGAATTGCACACGCGTCTCCGTCAACGTGTGTGCTTCCCTAAAAATTGTCACGACCCAGACCGTCGTGATTGACACCCATACTAACTCTCCGGTGGGAGAACCACTACTACAACCCAAACCAAGCAACTAAAACAAAACTAAGGCATTTAAGTTACGAAAGCAAGTTAAATACTAAGGAAATAAATAGGGAGTTCCCATAAACTCTAACAAAGTCTAACAACGAACTAACAATGCGGAAGAAATAACCTAGAGCCTGAAAGTCAATGTACCAAAACATCTAAAGTTCAACAAGTCTAAACAAGAAGGGATACAACCCCAATCTAATGAACTAATCAACTAACTAGAACATAGTCTAATTCCGGAAATGGTGGACATAGACGAAAGAGAGCCCATGGCAGCCTGGAAGAATTGGCTCACCCTTGAATTCGAACGATCACTGATCTTCTAAGCGAGGTCTGTTAATAGTCGCTTGAAGATGCCCTGTACTCAACAAAAATAAGAGCAAGTGCAGTATTAGTACACAACCACATTGTACTAGTAGGATCACACAGTTATCCCACTAACTGCAACATAAGCAAGTCAAGACAACAATATAATCACATGTATATATATCAACATATACAATATTATCAATATTTACGAACAACTTCACATTTTATATCAAATCATTGGTCCTCTCATGGGACCCAAACCCAAACAGTTAGCATATCGGAACGTGGTATCCGATCCCATAATTATACCGGAACGTGGCAATCGATTCCATAGTTATGTCGGAATGTGGCAATTGATCCAAGTTAATTATGCCGAAACGTGACAATCGATCCATTCAACACACCACACTCACAATCACAAGTATATCATCAAGATCATACATTTAAGCTATGATTTCATGGCAATCATCATTCATCTATCTCATTTACAACAAGTGTGATCAACATTACAACATTCATACTTATACACAGGGGCGGATCTACGTTGAACCAAGGGGGTTCATCCGAACCCCCATCGTCGAAAAATTACACTATATATATACGATTAAATTTTTTATTTATGTGTATATATATAATATTGAACCCCCTGAACATACACCAAAGGCGTAGCTCAGCGGCGTTGGGGGTTCAAGAATTCGCGCTCCTGCACGTTAGGTCGCGTGTTCGAATTCGAACAGAGGCAATTTTTTATCAGCCTTATATTTTAGGCGGGAATTTTAGATTTATTAGTTTAATCCCTAATTATAAAGTCAAATATTAAAAAGCCCTTTTCTTCTTTATTAAAAACCTGATAATCCCTAATTACAAAGTCAAATATTAAAAAACCCTTTTTTTCTTTTAGGATTTTTTCACGTTTTATTTTTTTCATCGTTCTTCTTCCTTGCTCTGGCTGCTGCTGGCTGCTCCTTGTCACTGCTGATGGCTGCTTTTGTTGGATTGGTCATTATTGAAATCTTGTAGTCTATATCCGCAATCGTTTCTTTCATCTCCATTAATAATTACTTTGGTATGTTTTTGGTTCCCTTTTTTCTTACTAGATTTCTATATACCTTATTTCGTTATTTCTTGATGTGCTTTCTTTTAGTTGGCTGAATTATTGATATCATTGAAGTTTCATTTTTTTTGTTTGGCTAATTTAATATATTTTCTTAATCTAAAATTGGAGAGATAGAGAAATATAATGTAATAATCCAATAACCATTGCTTAAGCTTTTTGGTTTTGGTCTTTCTTGTGTGTATGCTATTTTTTTAATAGTTCTGACTTTTTAAATGTGTGTTTATTTCTCTTAAATTCTAACTAAACTTTTACTTTACAATCCAGTCTTAATATTCAATGAAGAAGTATTTTACCCCAATATCGAAATCAAGTTTAGCCTCTCATAGTCATAGTCAATCTAACCAAGAAGAAAATGTCAATCATTCTGAAGTACCATCACATTCTTCTCAAGAATTTGATTTGAGTACTTTAAAGTTTGATCCCGGTGAAAGAACTCCAATATTGAATTATCATCCAAATCATCGTGATGTTATTAGAAGGGCATACCTTGTGAATGGTCCTTGTCAACCTCGCTTGGAGGTGCATGAGTACCCTCAAACAAATATTTCTGGAGCAATGCGTCGTTTTAATCATGAATGGTTTGATAATGTATATCATGATTGGTTGGAGTACAGTGTTAGTAAAGATGCAGCCTATTGTTTGTATTGCTATCTATTTAAAGATCACAATATTAATCAAGGTGGAGGCGAAGTATTTTCATGTACAGGATTTAAGAATTGGAATAAAAAGAGTGGTCTTGACAAGTATATTGGTCTGCAGAATAGCCCACATAATCGATCAAAAAAGAAATGTCAGGATTTACTACGGCAACAACAGTCGATTCAATTTGCATTTGAGAGACAATCTAATCAAATTAAACATGGATATTATATCCGCTTAAGTGTTTCGGTTGATGTAGTAAGATTTCTCATAACTCAAGGACTTGCATTTCGAGGTCATGATAAATCTAAATCATTACTTAGTAGGGGTAATTTTCTTCAGATTCTCTCATGGTATGCAAAAAGATGTGATAAAATTCGTGATTATGTACTTGAACATGCCCCTCAAAATGATCAAATGACTTCTCCAATAATTCAAAAAGATATTGTGACTGCATGCAAGATAGAAACAGTTAAAGCTATTCTCGAGGAACTAAATGGTGACTACTTTGCCTTACTAGTTGATGAATCTTTTGATATTTCACGCAAGGAGAAAATGGCTATTGTATTACGATATGTTGATAGAATGGGATTTGTGATGGTGCGACTTATTAACATTATTCATATTCAAGATACTAGTGCATTATCCTTGAAAGAGACAATTATTAATTTACTTGCTCAACATTCTTTGAGTCCATCATATGTGCGTGGACAATGTTACGATGGGGCAAGAAATATGCAAGGTGAGGCCAATGGACTTAAAATGTTGATTAGGCAAGAAAGTAGATCGGCTCATTCTATACATTGTTTTGCTCATCAACTTCAACTAACTCTAGTTGGGGTCTCTAAAAAGTGTGTTGAAGTGGGAAAACTTGTAGTATTGGTCTAAAATATTTTTAATATATTGGGATCTTCTTTTAAGCGTATAGATGATTTACGAGATTCTCAAAAAGCAGCAATTCAAGATGCATTAGATATGGGTGAATTGACAACCGGTAGGGGCTTGAATCAACAACTTGGTCTTTCAAGAGCTTGTGATACTCGTTGGGGATCTCATTATAAATTCTTTAACAATTTTATTCTTATGTTTGGCTCTATTGTTGAAGTTCTTGAATCACTTGCTCTTGATGCACGAAGTATGGATGAAAGAGCCAAGGCAATGGGACATCTTGAATCTTGTCAAACATTTGAGGTTGCGTTCATGTTGCATTTGATGAGAGTTGTATTAGCAATCACAAATGAGCTCAATAAATGCTTACAAAGAAAGGAGCAAGATGTTGCAAATGACATGCTACTTGTAGAAGTAGCAAAGAAAAGGTTGCAAGTTTTAAGGGATGATGAATGAAATTCTCTTATTGCTAAGGTATCTATATTTTGTACCAAACATGAAATTTTGATACCTAACTTTGAGGAGCCATATGTTAGCTCTTTAAGATCACGACGAAGACTTGCTCACTATACAGTCTTACATCATTACCGTGTTGAAGTGTTTTGCAATATTATTGATTGGCAACTTCAAGAGCTTAATGATCGTTTTAATGAGGTATCTATGATTTGCTCCATGGAATTGCTTGTTTGAATCCAATTAACTCGTTTTCAAGTTTTGACAGCAAAAAAATAATGAGGATGGCTGAATTATATCCAGATGATTTTGATGAATTTAATATGGATACTCTTAAAAATCAACTTGCAAGTTACATTGTTGATGTTCGTGATGTTGATGAAAGGTTCTCTGATCTAAATGGATTTTGTGATCTTTCCAAAAGATTAGTCCAAACAAAAAAACATTCAAATTATCCTTTGGTGTTCCGCTTAGTGAAACTTGCTCTACTTCTACCAGTTGCCACTGCATCCGTTGAAAGAGCTTTCTCATCAATGAAGTTTATCAAGAATGACTTGCGAAGTCAAATGAGTGATGATTTTTTTAGTGGTTGTTTGGTGCCTTTTGTAGAAAAAGATGTATTTGATAGTATTCCTAATGATGCTATTATTAAGACATTTCAAGATATGAAACCTCGTAGAGTACAATTGTAATGATCTATTTAAGTTTTTAGATATATGTATGTGCCTATTATTTATGTGATTAATCTTTTTTTTTGAACCCCCTTGATGAAAATCCTCCCTCCGCCACTGCATATACAAGTATCATAATGAAGCAAGAACAAACATACATCACACAATCATAGAATCACAACCATCACCTACCTCGAAACAAGCTTGAAACCCTAAGAAACTTGATCCTTCCCTTTCCGAATTCGTTCCGCTTATTCTTCGTCTACAAACATTCAATATAATATGGGAATCAATAAACAATCACTAATTACTCGAATTACTAACAATTCTATGACCCCTAGATCATACCCATGATCCCAATTATCCAATTTAGAATTGTTTCCACCATAGAATCTATAACAAAACCCTCCTTTATCAATATTCACCCATTTTATTACGTTCTACGGATCGAAAAATGGATTCGAGAAGTGAAAAGCTTACCTTTAGCCTAAAAAATGGTGAAAACGAGTATGAGTCGCCTGGGGTTCGTTTCTTAGTTCTTAAAGTCAAAAAATATATAATAAGGTTGTTTAGGGGTTTATTAACGACCTTAAGTCGCGTCGAGCCTGCCACATCGACCCTTATCCCGCTGTAGCGTCCCCACCAGAGTGGCCAAAACCCTCGCCAAGGCGGCTTGCACAAATCAGTGAGCTATTTAAAGAATTCCAAAATCCCCATTTCACAACACATCTCTAACCAACAACGCTAAAAAAAAAATACCATTAGCACTAAGATCGATTTCGAGAGTTCTACTCACCCAAATTCAATTTAGTAAAGTCGTACGGATTCCTTAACGAGTTATCTAACTAATCATTCGATCAAAATCATAAATGATTCACCCGATTGTTACCAGATTTCCCTACACCTCAAAAACTCCGATTTCATCCAAATATGGACTAGGTTGGGAAAATTCAAATACTACAAAAAAGTTTTTCAGCCCCAAATTTTCCCTTGTTGGCATTTCTATAACGATGGGAACATGTCGTTACAATAGGTACCAATTTACCCATTACTCGTCCCCAAGTGACAAAACTTAGAAAAAATAGGCTAAAGAAAGAATGAAGTAGTACCTGAATCGATGAACATTTGGGGATACTTGTCTCGCATGTCCCTCTCGGTTTCCCAAGTAGCTTCCTCAACTGGACGATGCTTCCATTGAACTTTCACAGACTTAATCTCCTTGGTCCTCAACTTACGCATATCACGATCAAGAATTGCAATTGGTTCCTCCTCATCTTTGAGGTCCTTGTCTAACACAATTGAGTCTCACTTTATGATATAATCCTCATCACCATGATACCTCTTCAATATGGATACATGAAATATCGGATGAACACCCGATAGATTAGGAGGTAAAGCCCATCTATACGCTACCGGTCCCACACATTCAAGAATCTCAAATGGATCATTGTATCGTAGACTTAGCTTTCCTTTCTTACCAAATCTCATCACCCCTTTCATGGGTGATATATAAGAAAAACATTCTCACTGGTTTGAAACGCCATGTCTCTTACCTTATGATCTGCATACTTCTTCTGTCTACTCTAGGATGTTAAAAGCTTAGTTTGAATACTTCTCACCTTATCTTGAGCATCTTTCACTAAATCTACCCCCAAAGGTTTCACATCTCCAGCTTCAAATCATCCTATGGGTGATCTACATCCCCTCTCATAGAATGCCTCAAATGGTGTCATATTTATGCTGGAGTGATAACTATTATTATAGGAGAACTCACCCAAAGGTATGGATTTATCCCAATGTCCTCCAAAATCAAGCACACATCCCCTCAACATGTCTTCTAATACTTGAATAGTCCTTTCCGACTGCCCGTCTGTCTGTGGATGGAAGGTTGTACTAAAAGTGAGTTGTGTGCCCAATTCATCATGCAATTTCCTCTAAAACTTGGATGTGAATTGGGTACCACGGTCTGAGATGATAGAAAGGGGCACCCATGCAACCTCACTATCTATTTCACATAGACCTTAGCCAATTGCTCAGCATTATAATCTATTCTTATCGGAATAAAATGGGCTAACTTGGTCAATCTATCAACCACTACCCAAATAGAATCAAACTTCTCCAATGTCTTGGGAAGACCAACCACAAAATTCATGGCTATTCTTTCCCACTTCCATTCTGGAATTGGCATTCTTTGAAGTAAACATGACGGCCTTTAATGTTCATACTTCACTTGTTGACAATTTTGATATTTCGCCACAAACTCCGCTATGTCTTTCTTCATGCCCCGCCACCAATAAATTCGCTTCAAATCTAGATACATCTTGGTCACAGCCGGATGAATAGAATATCGCGAACCATGAGACTCCGCCAACAATTTCTCAATCAAGTCATCTACTTAAGGAACACAAATTCTTTCTTTAAAATTGAGCACACTATCCGTATCAATAGTGATTTCTTGTGTCTTATCATTCGCAGTCTTCTTTCTAAGCTCCTCTAAATTCTCATCCTCAAATTGTTTGGCCTTGATCTCCTCAATGAATGTGGCCCTCACTTCAATGCTAATTAGCACCCCACTTCTTTCTGAGATGCCCAACTGCATGAACTTAGACTCTAAGGTCTGAATTTCCTTTGCTAAAGGTCGTTTGGATACACTTAAGCAAGCTAAACTACCCATACTCACCGCTTTTCGACTCAAAGCGTCTGCCACCACATTAGCCTTGCCCGGATGGTATTGAATGGTCACATCATCATCTTTAAGTAACTCTATCCACCTTCACTATCTCAAATTCAGATCCTTTTGAGTGAACACATGCTGCAAACTACGATGATCAGTCAACACTTCACACTTAACACCATAGAGGTAATGCCGCCACATCTTAAGAGCGAACTTTTCAGTGGTTTTTTCTAGCAATTTTCTTCAAATTTTTTGGTCAATAGTTTTGAATTTTTTTATTTGGATTCCCCACTCGTACTTCACAATTTTTTCGTAATTTCTTTGTCCCTTGCAGTTTCTTGTAGATTTCTGAACTTTTTGTTTGCCTTCCTAAAGCTCTCTGTGTATATATATATATATATATATATATAATGAACCAAAACATTCGACCTGATTCGTTGTCCATGTACTTGTAATCCAACATTATTAATTAATGAGTTCTCACGGCTTAGCCCCTTTTATTGGGTTTATTAGAAAGATTGATTTTCTCAATTTATTGGTGTTTCAATTTTAAATGTTATAATGGATTAGAGAGTCTCATGGATGAATAAATCAATGATTTGCTTATATCTACTTGAACAATCCTCTTGTTGAGCTAACCAGGCCAGTAACCTTTTTGATTGGGTTAACCCAAATATTATATTTGTATCTACAATTTTTTATGGGGATTGATTAATTTTGAAGATATCAATAAAAATTTGTACAAAAATATAACTTTGGAACGATATGTTTGGCTATGTAGAACTTTCTGATTTATAATTATTGTCAGGCTACTATGAAGAACAAATACAAACATAAGGAATCTTGATTAAATTAATTAGACTATCATTAAAGATTAGATATCATTTTTGCACATTTTAATTTTCATTTTAAGTATTTTGTCATTGTATATATTTGCACCACAAGTCTATGACCTATAATAAAATTATACACTATTCTTATGTTGGGCCTGGACAACGTCCAGACTACCTTTACTAGTTTTATACAAGTGTTAAAATATTTAACAATTAGTGTGTTTGGTAAAAAGTGTTAAGTAAGTATTTCTAATTCATTTTACAAAAAAAAAAGTTATAAATTTAAAATAGTTTTACAATTAAAAAAAACGTCTGAATAACCGAATAAAGGAATAGCTAAAAACAATAAATATTTCAGGGATTACAAAATATTAGTCATTAGTCATAAATGATAAAAGGTTTGGTCAGACAAAACACTATTATAGTTTTTGGATTATTTTGACTAATAAATACTTTTATGCTATCAAACAAGTAAATAAATCAACAAGTATTTATAAGTCAATTTGACTTCTAAACAGTACTATTCAACATGCAAAATATTTTAATAACTACAATTAAATCATATAAGTAGAAAAATTATTTGGCTCTTCAAATTTTAAATAAAATGAAATAAAAGAAAACACTAAATAATTGGGAGTTATAACTTTAATTTGTAGTGGTCAAAATTGTTTTGTAAAAGTTGTTATAACAAACTGTGTCCATGTTTTCCTCTTAATACTTTTAAGAATTCTACGCTAAAAAAATATTAATTCAAGATTTTAGTTCTTTAAGACTTTTTCTGATGTCATAATTATTTAAATTGATATATTTTGATGTAAATATTAT